TATCTATCTAACTATCTTTATATATTTATATACATATTTCACGGCAATAGATTTGCGGAACAGGAAAACACCAGTTTTACGAGTGCATCAGCAGCAAAATTGAGGAAATGAAATGATGAAGAGGTGATCATAGATAATAATTACGGCTACTGTGTTGTGGATTTTCAAGAACGGCTAAACGCAGACTCGGGTTCAAAACTGCATTGCAATGCAGTTGCGATAGTCTACGCTACATCCCATCATGTCCATTCGTTGACAAATCCTTCGACGTTTATCATAAGAAGAGTTATTGATTCGATGTTTGGGTTCAGAAACTCAAAATAATAATGAGTCTCTAAACTCGCTGATATGGACTTTCGATCCAAACCATGTACATTCCGGGTCTCAGGTGGTAATTTAATGAAGGGTTTATACCGATATTGAAGATGATGACGATTATGGGAGTGAAAATTTGTCTGGAAGCGCATGCATTTGGTATCAGACGAGACAACGGCCGGATTGACCGCTCCGAGATACGAGCATCCAGCGCATCAAAGGAGGCCAGAACTGCTCGAATAGAAATAAGAAATGATGAAAATAGTTTTTTCGAAGTCAAGGAAGGTCCGATGTATGGCGCAGGAATGGCAGATCGAATGAAAGTAAGTTAAAAATGTAATTGTATGACTAAGACTGCAAAATATTTACTAGAAACTTTAAACGCGTTTTTCTCAAAACTGTCTTTTTGAATCTGATACCCACGATTTCTCAAGTTCCGCCAAACCGATTTACTTGAAATTTTAAGAAAATCTTCTTTGGAGAATTGTCTACGTCCGGAAATATGATTTTTTCCAAATTTTCATTTTACTATTTTTAAAAAATCGAAGAATGTTCAAAAAATTATTACAATTTTTTTTTCTCATTAGACAGTCGCCATTCGTATAAAAAATTTTGTAACTTTTCCGTAGTTCCGGACATAGCGACATCATTGTAGATTGATAATTTTTTTACTTTTTGATTTCAGATTGCTTGGAGAGTTAAAATTGTGGGTATGGTCGCGCACCGAATTTTTGAGACGCGCCACTCCATCCGCTGATAACTAACGGAATTTGCATTTTTTTACTTTTTATCTTTTTGTATGCTTCTAATGTGAATAACTAATGCATAAAAATTTAATAATAAAAATATTACTTGCTTTTTTACAGCACTTCAAAAATGATATAAAATTAATGTCTCCAGACCAGAATACCCCCTTAATCAGCTGCAATATTACAATATTACAACAACGTTACGTGTTTACAGTCTTGTAAATTTTCTAATTATACGAGGCCTTTCTTTCCTGTTGAATATTGCATTTATGTATTTTTATTTGAAATGGCTACTGATGCCTCTAATTTTGGGCATCATCAAATACCACATTCTTCCACATTTTCGAATAGAGACCTCTTTATCATTGATATCTTCCATACAAAAGCATTATAGCAGCTTCTTCATTTAAATTCTGAGTAATGGAGCCTTGGCAGAAATGGAATCACAAATGACATTATGTCTTTTAGTACAAGTACTTGAGTATAAACATGCCTGTCTGGAAACGACGCTCCATCCAATCAAATCACAGACACAACTATCACCATGAGGATTATAACTTAGGGAATAGTCACAAGAGATAATGGCTCTTATAGTATTGTAAAAGTGAAAAAAAATGAAATTAATTGAGCGATAATTAGGTTTGCCTTGGTGCATTTTCATAATGCTAGACGAATGTAGGTAAAGAGAGGTCTTTGATTGACAGGGAAACCTTCCCGTTTTGACTTCGTCTTTCAAATTATTCCCTCAATTGCACACTTTTAATCTCCACCTCTTTTTCAATGCCGAGTTTTAAGCAAACGATACATAACTCGGAGATTGAAGCTAACGCTGTCGGTGTGGCAGTCAGTTCGTCGATGTTCGCCCACTTTTACTTCACCGAATGTGTTCGTTGAAGTCGAATTTTATATCAATATCGTTAGTCACCTCTTTCAAGGCAGCGAATTGTGGCAACATGGAATCCTGAGTTCTTGAAACGATAACATTCACATGTAATTTTACTGATTCTACAGTGTTATTTGACCCGTTGCCGCTTTTACCGTCTTCTTACATTCGAAATATGCTTTCGCTTGAAATGATTCCTTCCTCTATGCCAATCCCTAACTAATGTTCTCTCTAATTTGGATTCACAGTTCAATGGCACAATACCCACTTCTGCCTCAATTCTACAACAAATTACTTCCTTTTCAACCACCATTTACTCTGACTTAACGAATAGCAATCAGTCAGGAGAGTGGATGAAGACATATCTCCAAATAATCAATTGTTCAAGCTGTGCAAAATGCGATAAGGTGGAAAAAGAAGGCTAAAGGTATGGAATGTACTATGGAAGGAGATGCTTACCAAGCATTCAATGGCCCAATCTGAGAACTGAGTACCCCATCAAATTCAATGACGATTCCATGTGAAGTAGTTAAGAATCTTCAAGAAATAAATGAGAAATATGATGATGGAGTGGTATTGGAACCCTTAAGCTTCCAAGAGTAATAAGATTAGATCAGACATCTAGTAAATATGGAAAGTGCGCTTTTCTACTTCACTGTGAGAAAATGTGACATACAAAACAGTTTCCAAAACAGTCAATTAATAGTGTCCTTACACTTCTCAACTGTGATTAATTCCATGAAAATTATTCTACGGTCCAGCGATCCAACACACCACCGAGAATGCTTGATTGGCATTAGCAAACCAGTAGGCAACTCAATGACAACACATTTCAAGTTAACCTGTCCCACCACTAATAATACATCCACAGGAGAGTGAAAATATACCTGCCTGGTGAAACCTCCAATGAGGCATGGTGACGTTAACTTATCCTGTTCATCATTATTGTGAAACTTGATTTCCAAGTTGCCTCAACATTGGAGGGTTTGAATTGATATATACTAGATTAGTCAATCACATTTGAAGATCCACCACATTGGAATGCAAAATAGTGATGTGATTCAGCTAAGTTTTCAGCCAAATAGCCTTTTACCGATATTACGAGTTATATACATTTTTACAATAAAACGTCATTTTGTCAAGTTCTACACATTTGACGCAATTTAAGCTAATGGTTGTTCGCTAACACAGACACAAAACTCAAAGACTCGAAAACTAGTTAAAATGCTGATCTGAAACAAATTGAGATTTGTACTCATAGTCTGTTTTGTTTATCTTCTTGCATGGAATGTTGAGCAGATTAAAGTTCTCTCTGCAAATCATGATCCAACACCTTTTGTTTGACAATGGAAAAGTTTCCGTGTTGTAGTTCAAATAACGAAACTTACTTTCCATCCATACCTCAGTTCGTCTTCGTGGAGATTCTAGTTGTGATGCAACTAAATCAGATAATTTAATTTCAAGTTGATTCACAGTTTTAGACCTCATTGTTTTCCTTGAAATAAACAACTGCCTGTGTTTCATGATATACTCATGAAAGATCCATCTTCAAATTCACTAACATTCTCAACTGTGATACACATTGAGTAACCCCCATGTTAGGGTCAATGGTAGATTTCCATTTTACTCGGAAAGTTCTTAAAAACTGCTTTATTTCTGTCACAATTAATTGACCTATTTCATTGCTGGCTGGGGGATTAGTGATTTTCTCAACAGCGCCCTTAACTACATCATAGACCATCGAATTGAGTTAGTGGAGATTCGGAGGTCGAAACCAAACATTTAGGCTGATATAATGGCAATAATTGGTTGACAATACTTTGTGACGTTTCCCAAAGGCATAGAAGGGGGGCCGAGTACTACTTCCTACTCTCATCCTTTTTCCGAGCTTTAACTCCTGCAATGGCCAGGAATTAGACATTGACATCTGAATTCAACTCAACCACTACACCGAAAAATATGCGAGAGGAAGAGTCACATCATCCTTGTCGGGACACAAATCCCAAAAGCATTACAATTTAGGCATTTTTTGTCTCCATACCTCGACGAGTTTCCCCTCGACCGTGTGGAAACTTAGCCATCTCTTATTCTGCACGTTGTATTCTTATTATTGGTACAAGAACAGCAGGACGTTTAACTCTGCTCAGAAGTTCTTTCATCTTTGGCGGGCCATATTTTAGGATATGCGAAATGGACCTCTTCGACACTTACACGAACCTGTAGTTTCGAAGGCCACCATTGAGTGCAACCATTGTGGTACATTCAGTTAAATGAGACAGCGAATTCCAAATTGAGGAAGGCTGAAAACTGATTGTGACACCGAACTATTTCTACTACTCTTCAGTTGGTACATGATTGGGGAATTGAAAAGAGAGATATACACATTAATTAAAACGTTTATTGAGAATATGGAATCGAGTAAGAGATGTTCCAACAAGGGAGAAAAAGTGTTTGTCAAAAGACTGAAGGAGAATAAAATTCATAAATGGTTGAAAAATATTCAAATGTGTATTGCGTGTATTGATGAGTGTGATGGATGAGACAGGGTACAGTAGAGTTTCATTAAATTTCAGCAAAATAGTAGTCTGAACTGACATTTGAGTTATTGTGCCCAAAGTGCATTTTCAGTAGAAATATAAGGGAAAATGTACAAGATCTAAGCAGAAATGGTAAACACTGATTTTAGGAATAGGCTACCTCGATACAGCCTTAAATTTGGTTTAGGGAATTTTTCAGCAAAATGTAAATAGTCGAAATAACTAATGTTTATCTGGTATGTGCTCTAAGATGGCTTCTCTAGATGTTTTGGAAAAGTTGCACGGGGGACACATCGAGATAAGTTTTTCGTCGTTTTTCTCGACCGATTTTACACAACTGCCAGAATTTACTTTTTCCTCCTCTGTGGACTTTGAGTCAATAGCTTCAACTCCACTCAAAAGTGGGAGATTAGCTGATCTGTTGGATATCCGCTTTAGAGGGTAATCTGTAGAGTCCATGGCAATAGTAGATGCATTCACACCAGAAGAACACTGTTCCTTAGATAAGAATTCTGAAGTATACTTTTGAATACCACTGCAATACTCATTCGAATTTTGACTATGATAAAATAAGAGAACAAATCTATAATAAATGGGTAAAAAAGCACCGAGCAATCACCTACTGAATAATATGATCAAAATAAGACTCAAAATTCTTAAATAGCAATCCGCTGTCTACGTACTTGTGTGCTGTTGCAGTGGTTTTATTCAAGCTAGAAGAAGGGGCAGTATTTCTTTGAAATTCCACTGGACTCCGTTTGGTCACGCTGATCTCAGGTATCTTCAACCAAGTGATGTCAAACTTAGATGATAGGGGAGTATCAAATGAACTAGTGACTGTTGGAACGTATCTACTATCCGATGCATCATTTCGTCGAAAAGAAATAGTCAACACATTAGGTATATCATCACACGAGGAATCTGTGGGTAAGGCAGAAGGAAGTGTGTTTCTCGGGGCGTTCCTTGTAAAAGGAGGGGCCCATTCTCCTTTGGAAACAGATATTTCGCTTACCATATTACTGTTTTTAGGTGAGGATAGAGAGGATTCTGCATCTGAGGAGGATTGACTTGAATTCGGATTCATTTCTGACGTTATTTTCAGACCATTCGTTACCGCTGAATCGATTGCTGGTGTCGCGTTAGTTACGTCTGATGAATTTGTGGTAAAAGGGACGATTGGTCGCCGCTCTCTGAATGACGTAAGTGAATCTGGAGGGTTATATTTGAAAATGGGATTTAACTCTGATGAAGTTTTCTACAAAAAAACACCGTAAAGCATTGAGAGCGTTAAAATATGAAATGCTTATTTAAAAGAATCTGTAACAATTGCGAAAAATGAAATTGTGCGTCCACACCTTGTGATTTACGACATTAGGGGAACTGACTTACAACATTTGCTCTATCAACAAGGATGTTGGGAGAAAATAGTTAGGCAGGAAGTAGAACGTTGCTATTTTTGTATTCAAATTGTTGTAGTTTCTCAAACAGTAGTATCAACCTGTTTATCCTGGAATGTATGCTCTTAGATGAACTTTGTAGATGTGCACAAATAAGATGCAAATTTAGTTTTCTTAGCATTTTTAGCAAACTTGAATTTTATCACATTAGATCAAAGTGTACGCATTCTAGCCAATTAGAGCATTTGTATATAATTTGAATTTTCAAGACTGGATTCGTAAAGATTAAAAGTTCGGGCTAGCGATATAACCTCAACTAAGATACCATGGAGCTATTAATTACATAAAAAATGTGTTATCGAACTGTAATTCGTGTGGAATGAAGTACGACTTTTTAAGACATTAAAGAAACTGAAAAATTTACACTGTTCGAATAATTTGGCTTTTAATAAAGACTATGCACACATTAAGCCCTGAAATATGCTCACGACTACTAGGTGTAAGGAAGATATCATAGTACGATTTTAGTGACCGACCAATAATTATCTGGTACCTCGGTTATGGAAGACCAATGAACGATTCAAATTTCTTCGGACAATCACAAATTCAACCAAAGCAAATTCTCATACTGCATTTTAGTTTTTACTTACGCCAATAAATCATCTCCGGCCAGAATGATAGCCATGTCTAGACTTTAGTCTCTCCTCTCGGGTTTGAGCAGATATAGCGTATCTTTTACGAGCTGGCTTACAATACATTTCAGGAGAAGTATGACATTTTATTGAATTAGCTTGTGCAAATTTCAACATTTTTCAATTTATTAGAATTGGGCTACTAAACTGAAGTGTTAACAAAGTCGGGTAGATACGTGACAATCAACTATTCAAAACTGCGACTCAATACGGATAGCCTTCACTGAGGACAAACACACACACACCTTCACTTGCCGACATACGGTATTCAGAGGCGCTTTCACACTCGTGTCGACGTTTCCAGCATCTGTTGCTCCTCGGGGGATTTTGGAATGAACATACCTCAATATTTTGAGCATTTTGTACCGAGAGATTTCCGAATTACAATCTTCTGATCTGGAATGTAAAAAGACACATGTTGCCTGATGTGAGATATGGGTATTAAATCTCATGTGTTGCACATATTAGCCACTTACTGTTCTATTAAGTTTTCAAACACTTCTTCAAACTTCCTCTTAGAGCTCCTTTCAACCTGATGATTGCTTTCCTGTAGATTAGAGGTCACTTCGACTCTCTTCGATTGTTCTTCCACACTTTGATTTGACATGTCCTACAAAATTAGACATACATTTAGATTTACTATTGAACGTCAATATTGGCGTAGGATGAGAAGACAAATTATTTAATGTGACAAGTAAGTGACACAATATTGAGTACTTACAGATACCTATCACAAATTGAAAATGGAGTTAAATGAGCAAAATTGACAGTGATTTTCTCGTTTGACTACTATGAAAAACGCAATTTTGAAAATTTTAAATAAATAAAACTCAGTAATCAGGCATTTGAAATTTATGATCAACAAATACAGTCCATTACAGCATATATTGCCAATGTTTAAGTGAGTGATGCTTGACATACTTAAATTTCAGCTTCTCTGCTAAACAAATTGTGCCGATAAAGATGGAAAAGATTGGAGGCTACTAGGCACCCGTTTTGGTCTACTGAAACCTACATTCATGTAGTGGATGTTATAGGAGTGTATTTGGTATTGGACTGCATCAATAAATGAACGGTTGCTGTGTGCATGATGGGGGAGGGGCGGGTATGAGGGTGCTTCCATTTCATGATCAAGTTCTTCAACTGGGCAGTGTCTGCTTCAGCCTGCATTCAGATTGAGACCTTAACAGAGCTGCAGCAGCGGCATTTTCTGCAGGTGAAGAGACTGGCGGAGGGTAACAAGAAACTGGCGGTGAACGAGGGCTATGTGCATGATGGGGGTGGGGCAAGAGTAGATATGAGGGAGCTACCATTTCATGATAGTTACCATTAACCCATCAGTTGACTTCGGGCTTCACGGAGGGGAGGAACATCAAAGTCACAAAAAGTTATTATTATTATATCAAATGGCAGGCGTTTTGATAGTTATCATTAGCCCTTTAGTTGACTGTAGGCTTCACAGAGGGGATGGAACATTAAAGTGAAAAAAAGTTGAGAGTGTGGGGGGAGGAACAGAAGAGCTTTTCAAAGATGTAAAAGAGACAGACACAAAGGTAGAAAAGGTGAGGTAAGTACTGTGGAAATGATCGAATATGACATGGGGTCAGGTCATGGTAGTTTGAAGTCAGACGTCAACTGCCGGTTAATAGACCTTTTTACCGTAAGAGTATAGTTGCCCAGGGTGC